TCTACTATTCGCATCTAATACAGGAGCAATACTGAATCTGTTATACGCGATGCTCTCGATGGTTAGATCGAGAACAGGTAAACCGTTACCCTTGAGCGCTGGGCCACGGGTAACCTGGATTTGTAGCAGAGTTGGTTCCTCGTTACCCATATCGTCCTCCTCTTCAAATACATCGTGGAACGACATAAACGTATCATCAGCGCTATGGCGAGGGGCCGTAGGCGTATCGTCCGCAAATCGAGTGGTTTGACGAGGGGTTGGGTTAACTGGGGTCGAGTCTGGTCGAAACGGTGGCATCGACGAAGGCAGAGTACTTCGGAGCCGGATCGTATGCGGCGGATCCTTCTTTCGCTTCCTCTGCGTTGTCGTTGCTTTTTGGCGAGAGGACGCTTTTGGAGCTCTTCGTGATGACGGAGGGGCTATAAGTACACGCTTTCTTCGCGATGTAGACTCAGCCGCCACCAAATCATTAGTCTCGGGTCCAGCCTCGGCGACGATAACCTCCTCGGCGGCCTCCTCGGCGGCCTCTTCGGCGGCGGCAGCCCGGCGAGCCCTCTCGGCGGGCGTAACGATCCTGATCGACGGCGAGGCAGAGCGTTGAGGAGGATCTCTGGCGGCGTCCTGTGCCAGTTGTTGTATACGTCGTTGTTTCCGCGTACCGTTGGCGATGGGTGACGGACGATGCCCAGAAGGGTCATCATCCGCCTGCCGAGCCGCGCGGCGGCGTTTAGGAGGCATCACGATGCCCTCAGATAATGAGATTCAATAGAAATAGATCAATTGAAGCCATCAGAATAGGTCAATTGCCGTACTACGAATATCTACGTGGCGTTGGGCAAATTTTCATGTATATACAGGGATTATGCGTGCGTAATTTCGGCAAAAAGGGGGGGCGGACGCTGTCAACGCAACGGAGTGTAGAATGTCACCCCTTTTCTTTCCAATCTCGGTTACGCGTGAAATCATAAAAGTCTATTTCTTCTTTTTTTACCTCCTATTTGTCTAAAATGGTCTAAGAGGCTCTAGTGGGATATGTGCAGAGAGTGGCTCTCAAAGATGATGATGACCAAGTCATTGCTTGTTGTCCTTGACGTCACCGTCCTCGAGCTCGGCGATGAACTTCTCGGCGTCCAGGGCGGCCATGCAGCCGGAGCCTAAAAGCGATATCAACGTCAGCAAATGTCGGGGTTCCACAACATACGCGGCCTAACAACAGCCAATGGCTTCGCGGGGGGGGAGGGACGGGAATGCTCACCTGCACTGGTAATGGCCTGTCTGTATCTCTTATCCTGGACATCACCGGCGGCGAAGACACCCTCGACGCTGGTCAGGGGGGTGCCGGGCTTCGTGACGATGTAGCCCTCGGCGTCGGTCTCGAGCTGGCCCTTGACGAGGGTGGTGGCGGGCTCGTGGCCGATGGCGTAGAACAGGCCGTTGGCCTCGACCTCCTCCTCCTTGCCGGTGACGGTGTCCTTGACGACGAGGTGGCTCATGAGGCCGTCGGCGCCGCCCTTGATCTCGGAGCCGACGGAGTTCCAGCGGACGGTGACCTTGGGGTGGGCCAGCAGGCGCTTGGCCATGATCTGGGAGGCGCGGAGGACGTCGCGGCGGACGAGGACGGTGACGTGGCTGGCGTACTTTGTGAGGAACATGGCCTCCTCGGCGGCGGAGTCGCCGCCGCCGATGACGAAGAGGGGCTTGTTGCGGAAGATGGGGACGGCACCGTCGCAGACGGCGCAGGCGGAGACGCCGTTCTGCCAGTACTTGTCCTCGCCGGGCAGGTTGAGGCGGCGGGCGGAGGCGCCGGTGGCCAGGATGATGGCGTCGGCGGTGTGGGTCTCGTCGGGGGAGAACTCGGTCGAGTACTTGAAGGGGCGGGAGGAGAGGTCGAGGTTGGCGACGGTGTCGGTGATGATCTCGGTGCCGAAGCGGGCGGACTGGGCCTTCATCTTCTCCATGAGCTCGCCGCCCATGACGCCCTCGGGGAAGCCGGGGAAGTTCTCGACGTCGGTGGTCGTAGTGAGCTGGCCGCCGGCGGCGATGCCGTTGGCCATGAAGCCCTCGTAGAGGACGGGCTTGAGCTCGGCGCGCGCCAGGTAGACGGCGGCGGTGTGGGCGGCAGGGCCGGAGCCGATGACTGCGCGGAGGAGGGCATTGTCAGCTCATGGGGGCTTTGCATTGAGGGTAGCAGGCAAGCAGGGAAGCAGTGAAGCCATCGTGAGTCGATGTGAGGGGGAAAGGTGAGGGGCCGTAGAGGTAACGGTAGCAGCGGTAGCGGCGGTGGTGACGACTTACTGACGACCTTGGAATGCATGCTGCGGGCTGTTGTTCTAAAATCAACGGGTTTGGCGGTGTTCTTTTTCAGGGTGGTAGTGGCTGCTGCAAAAGACAGGCCGGTCGCGCTGGAGCGAAGAAGTGTTCGTCTGAGGGTTGAAGAGAACAGTTTGGCGGTGATATGCGCGTTCGGAACACGCAGTATCCTCTCCAAAATGGCGGGGTATCTTTAAAAAGGAAAAAAGAGACGCAGTGCGAAGGGGGGGTCGCCTCAGGGAGGGGCGTCCTCGGGGAGTGGAGGGGCAACGCAACGAAACACCAGGCGGGTTCTGCTTCTGCTCTCTCTCCCAATCAGCTCCTTGCAAAGCTGCAACTCGTGGCTATCGTTGACGATATCTGCTCGCTGCTACGCACTATCTACCAGAGTCAAAGACGGCGTCTGACTGGACGGCGACTGCTTCCAAGTGGGAATCGCAGCGCAAGGCTAGGACGGTTGGAGCTGTGCTGCAGTTGGATTTCTAATGGTTGCCGGGATTTGGCCCTGCGATGGTGGATTCCAGAATTTTTCGGGCGGCGGCGCGACTCAGGGTTCTCTAGCGGACGGCCACCCAGAAATGCGCAATCGGAGCGCCGGCTGCGCTGGATTACTTAAGCGCCGAGTCTCCGGGCGGCCACGCCAAGTCACACCCCACTTACCGAGGCTCGCCCGAGTGACATAACTCCGAGCGGAACGCATGCTTTTTTCGAATTCCGGTCTCGGGGCCGACTTTCCGCAAGGGTTCTCACCATGCGGTTGACGCATTTCCATCTTATCAATCAAAGATCTCTATTTGGAATTCTCGTCTGCTGACGTCAATGAAGCCTCGTCAGGTTGATGTTCTGGACTGGCCAAGGCCGTTGTCGGTGGATCCGGATGATGCGATTCTGTGTGGTGCAACAACATTTGATGACTCTTCGTGAGCATGATTATTGAGCAATGCCAACGATTTGGAATTATCATTCACACCAAACGAACTGCCTGATCTTCTTATGCGACAGCGACTTCTCTTATAAGACCGTTACAACTTTGCTGTTGTCGTCGCCCCTGTTGTCGTCGTCCATCTGTGTGCGACCTTGACCGCATTCTTGTGCACGGAAAAGACAGCGACACATACACGAGAAACATGACAACTTCTCACTGAAAGCAAGAGTCACTCTTGTAAGAGTTCTGCTTGTTGTTTCACAGATTGCACTACAATCCAAACAACAGTTCGGCGTTCGGCGCGGCATTACCACCTACCTGGGCGCCTTTACCTCGCAGCCGAGACATCAAATCACAATCCTCGATAGTCTAGTGGTGAGGATATCGGCTTGTCATTTAACGATTCGCCGGGGACCGGGGTTCAATTCCCCGTCGAGGAGTCAAAAGAGTCTGAATCTGGCTCGAATCAATTTTTGCTGGTTTCTTTTTGGATAGTGTGGGCGAGTTGCGGAGTCGCGCGCTTCCCGCCCTTGTCCAGATCCACTCATGCAGATCCGGGATCACGGTGGCCAGTGGGGATCTTTGGGCCGGCCGTATCCGGTAAGAGTCTTTGCGACTAGACTTGCTAATAATTGAGCGGTCCTAAGTGATGAGTTATGTATGAATTTGTTGTAATGCGACTTTGCTGTCGGGTGTCTTTCAAATATAGAAAGTCAAGATATGACTTCTGGAAAATGGGGTAATTTGTACCATGGTTTGCTGTATTACATACAAGCACAGCCCAATGGCGCTCTCCCTGTGGTTGCGCAAGCGGCTTCTCATCGATCAGTGGATGTTCAGTGTTTTAAACCCTACAACTGTACGTTCGAAAACAGCAGCGCTTGCCCCATCCTCGCGTAACGTCTCGCAGATGCCATGTTTGTCAACAAGAAGTCAAATGATCAGATGTTATACATAGAGTAGAATCGATCGAGTGTTCCGAGTCCTTGCGAGTGGGGAGGATGCAGGAATAACGGTTGTGATAATGAAACATAAATTGCTGCCATTGGAGTAGCTACACAAGCTGAGAGGTTTCATAGCTATCCAAGGTGGTAGCTGCGAAGCTCGTGAACTGTTTTTCGAAGGCGGGTGGAAACCCTTCTGCCTCAACAATATAAGTACATCAGAGCCGATGTACAACACACAGCTCCAGTAATCTCTTTGCTCGGCAAGACTTTTGGTATCCGGGCGGATAGTGAAGATAGAACAGACCAGTAATAAGTAAGAAGATGGCGAAGATGAAGACAACGAAGATGGGTAGACGACGACGACTATGAAAACGACAATCACAATAATGATAGGGATAATATTAGATAAATCGTCTTCTGATATAACACATAGTATTCCGCCTGCTGGATGTGTTCATCCGAATAGCAAAATTCCAGAATACTTCAGAGACCTAAGCATATTGCACAACGAATCATCTTGTTCAGAGTACAGAAAGCTCATTCCATGGGAATCCACAGCCGTTCTTACACCTCGCAGCACGCAGTAGCGGCCAGAGTCTGAGAGGGTTTCCGCACACACACTCTCTCTCTTTTGTGCTGTGCATCCGAAAGCCAGCCGTAGTCCCGCCCAGTGAGGCAGATCCAGCGCACGAAATCTAGACGCGAAAAAGAACCATAAAACTGAATACAGCAGAAGAAGAGATTCCTGCGACAAGTTTATTCGAGGAAGGGAAAGCGCGTTGCTGGGTTGCAGAAGAAACCAGATCAGACATACCACATCAGTCCAGTCCAGCCATTAAATTGTCGCCACCTGCCTTGGTGATGTGCCCCTGAACAAAGCGAATCTTTTCAGAATACTGATCCATGATGGCAGGTAACAGCCCTTGAGCTCCCTTGGCAGCATCCATCCTCGGAAACGAATCCAAGCCCAGTTCGACAGCTTTCCGCATCGAGTCCAGCTGGTCCTGGAGCGCTGTCAGGAGAATGTAGATGCACACTGGATTCGCGAGATTATTCACAGCTGCAATGTCAGGCGCGGCGGCCGGCGTGAAGCCGAGCTCCTTCATGCTGGCGTTCGACAGCAGCGCTGGGTTGATTGCGCATACGCCAGCCTCGCCAGATACCGAGCAATCTGATTCCGACGGCCGCTTCTTCAGAGATGGGAACGCCAGCTCAAGAATGTCGACAAAGACCTCTAGGACCAGCGTGGCCGGCGACACAACCATCATCAGAGCCGTCTCGTCTGACATGGAGTCTAGCATGGGTTTGCGAAAGGCGAATTTGGCGCCGCCCATCATCAGCCAGGCGTTGAACTTTGTCACCTTCTGGGTGATGTGCAGCATCTCCTGGATGGCGTTGGAGGCATCGGTCCCAGGATGCCGAGAGAACACGGCGGCATGCTCCCTCCTCTTTGCGACGAGCTGCTGCTGGAACGCCGACAGCTGCTCGAGCCTCTTGAGGACGATGACTTCCGGCTTGGCGGCCTTCTTCAGTTCGTCAAAGTCATGTTGCAGGGGACAGTCTGCCGACGGGAAGCAGACGATGCCCATGTCCATGCCGTCCCATGCTTCCCAGGGGATCGGTGTTTCTTCCAACGTAGACGGCAGAGCCTGTGAAACTAGATCGGTATGCTGTGATGGAGTGTCTGAGGATAAGGTCGATGGTGGTGTCAGAATTGGCCCAGCTCCCGGACGGGTCTGCACAGGGGGCTTCTTCGGTGGTCTGCCTGTCTTCAGCGCGGGACTGAAGACGCATGCGACGCCCTCGCGGCTGCATTTCTGACATGGCCCATCGCCCTCTTCCGGACCTCGCAGACAGCGGATCTTCTTAAAGTGGCACGCATCGCAGGCCTGGCGGATCCCTGTGAACGGTCCTCGACTTGATTTGGTCATCGATACAGATATAGAGAGCTGAGGTTGCGATCGTTGAGTTTGGATGACATGTTGGGAACGTGACCAGGGTCCAAGAAATCGTCTTACTGTGCCGTCTCCAGTCTTACGGATACCTCGATTGGTGAATGGTCAGAAACGTGGGAGCAGGCAGACGACGAAGGATCCGGATCCTTGACGGCGTCGTAGGAGAATCAACATGTGAACAGCTGATACCAGCTGTAGCCCTTGGCGATTCCGTCCGAGTTGACGCTCAGAGCTTCTGCCTGTTCATCTTACGATGTTGCTTTCTTTTTCACTCGAGGCTGGAATTTCGGAATTCTTTTGGTGTCTACAAGGAGGAGTAAGCTCGCCATAGCTGATCTGATGTTCGTTTAGATGCTGTAATTAGAGAGTAAGCTTTGAAAAAACGAGAAACAGTCATTGAGCAATCAGCTATCCCCAACACTTGGGTTTTCAAGACACGGATCAAGAGTCGCGAAGGGTTTTGCCCATTTCACGAAGTCATCGGGCTTTTTATAATTGTTGCTATGGCTCGGGAACTACCCGTTCAAATACCCATAGGAGGCGCGTCACGGCAAACTGAGCCCTGTTGCCTGCATGAGAATGTCACTCCACCAACCTGCCGAAACCCGCCGAGATGGTGCAACCCGCCGAGCCGCCCTAGAAAAGGGATCAATTGTCCCATTTTCTCGCCTATCTCTCATATTCAGCTAGCTCAGAAATGATGTGAAACATCTGGTCAAGAACTATGATGGCTACTACCTCAGAAATCTTCCACAAACGCAGGATCCTCCTCGTCTCAACCGTCGGCGGCTTCACCCACGCCGCCCCGGTTCTCGAAGTCGGCGCGGTCCTTGCGGCACGCGGCCACGAGGTCCATTTCGGCACCAACACGGGTCAAGAACATTGGGCTTCCGCCTACCCATCCATCAGTCGCGTGTATAGCTTCGGTCCCGCCCTCCCGGACGATGAGGCGGAGCAGCATTACACCCGCATGAGACAGTGGCGGCCCAGCGATGGTGTCGGCTCGATCATGCAGTCCAAGTACCTCTTCGATTCGTATTGGCCGGACACCTATTTCCACCTACGCGAGCTGGTGCTGGATTCGGATACTCGGCCAGACATGATCATTGCCGACTTCTTCGTTGATGCTGCCGCCAAAGATATGATGATCGAGCTTGGCGTGCCCATTGCCATCATGTGGCCGCAGATGCCCTACCTCCTGGCCCCAGTGAGCTATATACCCGGTCAGCCAGGCTTCCAAGTCGACTTTACACCGACGTCAGAGAGAGCATCCATCTGGTCGCGCATCAGAAACGAAATGGTGTTGTTCTGGGCTCTGCCGCATATCATGGGGTGGACGGGGTGGTTCAAGAAATTGAGGAAGCGGCAGGACGTCCATCACGCGTTGCCGGTGGCCACAAAGCCGAATCACCTCGTCCTCATCAACTCGTTCTTCGGCCTTGAGCCTCCCAAGGACTTGCCGCCTCTGATGGTTCCGGTTGGCCCGATACTCAGCGATGAGTTTGCCGAGCTCGACGATATGTATCTGGATTTCCTCGAGTCTCACGATAAGACCGTGTACATAGCTCTTGGCACCCACATCGTCCTCCCTGACGTGGACTTGGCCAAGCTGATTCGTGGTCTCGTCATGTCATTGGATATGGGGCACATCAACGGCGTGATATGGTCCATGCCAGCAGCCGCCAAGAGACGTGCCGATACGACGGCCTCTTTTGAGAGGAAGGGTGGGTCAAATATGACAGTCGGGGATATTCTCAACGGAAGTCACTCTGAATTTCTCGTCACAAGCTTTGCGCCGCAGCGAGCCATACTAGAGCATACCAGTACCAGGGTCTACCTCACCCATGGAGGTGGCTCCAGCGCGAATGAAGCCCTATTCCATGGGACACCCGTTCTTGTCATGGGCTACTTCTTCGACCAGCTCGCCAACAGCGCGCGCTTAGTCGAGGCGGGAGTCGGTCTGGCCATGGACAAGTTTGACTTCACGCCCGAGGGGATGGCCAGCCGGATTTGTACCATTGTAGTCGACCCCGAAGGCAAGATTTCCAGAAACGTTGAGCGCATGAAGAGGATTGCGCGTGTCGCTTCGCGGAGGAAGCACTTCGCTGCTGACATGGTGGAGGAGGTCATCCACGACCACGAGCTACGCTTCAGACGTGGGCAAGAGCTCCGGCCCATGCATCTCCAGACCGCGGATATGAGAATGCCAATTTGGAAGGCGAGGAATTGGGACCTGTGGGCTACCTCGCTGCTGTCTGCAACGATAGCTGGCACAGCCTTGTTCCTGGGTGTGGGATACATCAGGCGGCTTGACTCTAAGAGCTTCAGCCAGGTTATGGAGATGCTGCGAAAGCTCAAGGGGAGGTGATAGGATATCTGGACTTGTAGCACCCAATTGATTTCATGAAACCCGATCAGCTAGACGAGGTTGGTGAGACGATCCTTCTCATGCACAAGGCTCAATTGGCCGTTGATATGGCGGAATACACGTCTGACGTGTGCAATCTCTGCGTATCGCAGGGGTATTTACAAGCCATTGTTATCTGAAATGGCAGAAGTCCCATTCCGAAGTTGCCAATCATAAGCGCTAAGTATGTAAGCTTGGGATTCAGCCACGCGTGTAATCCCAGCATCCAGACTGTCGGGTCTTTAGCCAGGCAGCTGAATTCCCTTCATTCCAGACTTTTTCCATCTCCTTGGAAAAATCGAGGGAGATCTTCCTCCGAGCTTCAACAACGCTGCGGTTTTGTTGAGACATCACATTTGCGTCGACTTCTGCTATACGGTGGACAGAATCTCAGCATGGATTCGTCTAACAGCAATGTGATGCTCGGACGACCTGGTCTAGATATCAAGACTGCGGCCACGGCTTTCGGTTTGCTTGCTCTTGTCTACTATGGTATCGAGTTCTTGAAGGCGGTATGGATTGGCCTCACAGGACCGCTTAGCAAGGTCCCTGGGCCGTGGTTGAACAGATTCACTGCAGTTCCATGGAAATTGACGGTCATCACCGGCAAATCAGGACAAATGTGCATCGACTATCCAAAGAAGTACGGCGAAATTGTCAGGATCGGTATGCATCACTGCCTTCCTGGGGAAACTTCACAACACTGACTCTGCCACCAGCGCCCAACGTTGTGATGATTTCCAACAAGGAGGCAGTCCACCAAATCGTCGTCGAAAAAGACCTCCGCAAGAGCGCTGCGTACGAAAAGTTCCGCCAGGATAAAGACATCGCGACGATATTCACAATACGAGACCGCGCAGAGTACCGCACCCGGCGACGCCTGCTGTCCCACGGCTTTTCGGTCAGCTACATCAAAGGTCTCGAGCCGATGATGTTGAGCTGCATCAGGGATCTGGAGGAGGTGATTGATGAACGTTGCGCCGCTGCCGCCGGCGGGAAGGCAGAAATCGATATCTGGCATCTCTTTGGATGCCTAACCTCTGATGTCATGAGCGAGACTTCTTTCGGAGGCTCATTCAAACTGGTGAAGAACGGGGAGCATCCCATTCGTTTGAGGATGTCGCAGAACTTCAGACGCAACGCTGTCGTGAGCAGTCCTTTATGAACCCGGCTCATTGAGTATAGCCCAACTAACCGAGTCAAGTACCAAACACTGCCATTCTTACGTTGGATCCCCTCCCTGCCAAAGTCGCAAGACCCCGAGCTTAAGAGGCTCGTCGACGAGGTCATTGCACGAAGGAGAACTTCGCAAGACAAGATCGCGAGGCCTGATATCCTGCAGTTGCTCCTCGACACTCACGACCAGAACCCAGAAGACTTCTCAGACAAGGTAGTCATGGCAGAGATGTTTCTCTTCATGCTGGCTGGTGGCGAGACAGCGGCTACCACCCTAATCTTCGCATTCATATTCCTCTTGGACGATCCGGTCCGTTACAAAAGGCTTGTGGACGAGATCCGCCAAGTCTTCCCTGTCGCAAGCTCGCCAGTGACTAATGAAATGACGGCGAATCTGCCGTTCCTCAATGCAGTTCTGAAGGAGACTTTGAGGCTCAGAGCACCAGCAGCTTCTGGTAAGGTTCTCGTATGGTGAAGGCTTGCAGTTGCTGACGTCTATGTAGGATTACAAAGACAAACTGATGAGGATATCGTTCTGGCTGGGCATCTCTTTCCCGCTGGAGTAAGTTGTCTCCCGGCCTAGCCGCTGTTGCTTAGGGTATCTAACGCGACCAAGACTGCCATTACTGCCAACACGTTCCCATTGCACTTGAATGAGAAGGAGTGGCCCGACGCCGACGATTTCGTTCCCGAACGGTGGCTTTCTGATTACAAAGGCGTTCCAGCCGCCGAAAAGATGTCGTACTACCCATTCTCTGCGGCGTCTAGAAACTGCATTGGCAAACAGTGAGATCTCCCACGCCTTCGAGTTCACCGAGAATACTAATGATCGCATCAGATTTGCGTGGAATGAGCTTCGTCTTACGATGGCTTCCCTCCTTAGGAGATATGATTTTTTCTTCGTGCCTGGCCAGTCTCGGGAGACAATGGTTCTGGTGAGCCTGCAGCTCAAGTCAAACAAGTACCTGATTGGTGTCAGGCCGAGAGCTTAGTGCAAGAAAAGGCTCTAGGCAGGAGACTTAGATACTTTAGGCAGAAAGCTAGCTTGAGTTCCTCCTATAATAAACATGTCAGTGGACAAGTTCGAATATACTAGGCTTGGCTCGTTGTGTGACACTTGATCCTAAGTTCATAGTGTGCAGGGACCCCACTACGAAAATGGGCACCCGCATCCTGGACCACACTTACGTAATGCGACGCGACCCCGGTCAGTCGATTACCTAATCCAGTCCAAGCTCCGAAATTCCATGCTCCGCTGGATTTTTTTTTCTTGTCGTCCCGTTCTTCCGACCATCCACCTCTCCCATCTTTCTTCCACCATGGCCACAGTCAGAGACAGCTTTCTCGACCTCGAAAAGCACCGTCTGCAACTTGAAGACAATATCGCCAAGTTGCAGAAGGCTCTGCAGCACTGGCGACAATGGGACGCGGAGTATGAGTCCTTGAAAGAGGAGATCGAGTCTGCTCCCCAACCCGCCAGCTCTGAGCACCTCGCGCGCATCCGCCGGGACTTTGAGGGCGAGGTCGTCGACAAAAAGGAGATCAACGACTTGTTTGGCAGGATCGACCTCAAGCCTGCTGAGCAGATTGTCAATCTTCTGACGCGTCGCATCGACTACGTGTCCAAGAACATCGAGACACTCGAGAAGCAACTCGAGTCTGCGGAGCAGAAGCACGCCGCCGCCAGCATTGTCAGCAACCCCGACGTGCGCGACGAAGATGGCCTGCCCATAACAGAGATCATCGAGGAGCTTGATGAGGAAGGCAACATCGTTGCTAGTCGGCTCCAGCGTCCGGGCGACTCCAGTGGGCAGATCAGGGAGATCTTGGAGAAGGCCGGCGTTAAGGATATCCCTGAGGGCAAGACTGAGGGGTCGGAAAAGGTCGAAGCGATCGTCGAGGATGTCACCGACAAGCCTGCGGAGGCTGCACCACCGAAGGAGGAACCTGTTCCTGCTGTCGAGCCGCCCCAGTCTGATCAGAAGGTTGACGATATCGTCCCGGTCAAGAAGACTGTCTCCTTCTCAGAAGACACCAAGCCGGCTTCAGAGCCTCAGATTTCCAGAAACGCCCAGCGCGTCGAAGAAATCATGAAGACGGCCAAGGACCAGGAGGAGATCAGCCGGCAGCCACCTGTCGTTCCCGAAGGCGAGACTGAGGAAGACGCACTCCTCCGTCGAGAGATGCTCAAGTACGGCATGGAGGAGGTCGGGGCTGTCGTCGCCGAGCTGACGCTCGAGGAAGGCTCTGGCGATGACGGCGATGACGACGATGACTGGGAGTACGACTACTCTGACCTTGACGAGGACGAGGAAGAGGACAAGTACGGACGTTCCACCAGCAGTGTCCTCGACGACGGCTACCACCAGCGGATGCTTGAGCTCGAGAAGCGACTTGGTGTCAAGTCTCGCTTTACGGAGAAGGCCGAGGAAGAGGCGGATGATTCCGACAACGAGGATAAGCAAGGCATCGGTCGCATCGTCATCAAGCGTGGCGAGCAGGCCAAGGCTTCGGAACCTCCCAAGTCTACGCCTTCTCCGGTCGCTTCCAGCCTACGGACCTCTTCGCCGATCGAGTCTGACAGCAAGAAAAGCGTTCGCTTCGCTCAAAACCTCGACATCGCTCCCGAGACGACGCCGGCAACATCGACGCCAGCTGTCGCTCCCGAGGCTCCCACAGAGCCCATCGTCGAGCCTCTTAGCGACATTGTTGAGCGTTCTGGCCCTGCGCAGCAAACAGAAGTCAAGTCTACACGCAAGGCTTCACGCTTCAAGAAGCAAAGAGCAGCCCCGACCGTCGTTGACGACGACGCTGTCCCCAAGGGTCCAATGGATGTACCTGTCCGTTTCCTCGACCAGGACCGACCCACTGCCCCTACCGGCCCAGAAGGCAAGACGCTCGCCGATGCCATCGTGGAGAAGGAGGCCAGCCCAATGGACGACGACGCCTTTGGGGATGACTTCATCGACCAAGACGTTGCCGACGAGTACCACCGCAAGCGGAGAAACTTCATCCAGAAACAGGGTGGTTTCTTGCAAGAAGACACCTCTGTGATCCGGCCACTGGACGAGGCCGACGGCGGTCAGCGCATCAGCAAGTTCAAGGCTGCTCGTCTTTCCAAGCAGTAGACGGCCGGATCTCAACCCAATAGGTACGTGGTGATATTTTTTTTACTCAACACCCTCCCCAAATGATGATTTAGACTTCAAAAATACAGTTATCCCTGTCCGAGATACAAAATATGTGTGGATGTAATCTACCTTCTGATATGGCATCTTTTCTTTGCTCATGACTGGACTCGTCTTCGGGAAGACTTGACTGACTCAATTCTCAGATACTCAACCAAGTGAATAACTTCCAACATCACACGCCCGTGCCATCCATCATCCCAGGTAAGACGATCTTCTTTTTCGCTTCACCCCATCCTCCCAAATGATGAATTAGACATCAAAAATACAGTTATCCCTGTCCGAGATACCAAAATACGTGTGGATGTATTCTACTTTCTGATACCACTTTTACTTTCCAATGTTGTTTGCATCAGTCCGTCAGGAATTTTCGCTAATCAACATCACAGATGCCGTGTCAAGTGATTCGTGCGCCGAGGCAGCTCCATGCCCTCTTGTCTGCTTGCTTTTCCAACGCCATCCGTCAGGACATGCGAGGGTGTTTAGAGCGGATAGAAATTGGATTCATAGACCCAATGTCGGGTCTCATGTCGGCGAACCTGTGCTCTAAGGATTCCTGACGTGCTTTTGCTATCAACCTCTTTGCTGTCGTCAACCACTAATCCGTTCAGTTTTGCTTCTTCACAGTGCATGGTCATTTTCCTCTTCCAGGGACGCGTTGTAGCGACGGACCGCTTATTAATCTGACAATTGATGGGCTGCAGCATTCAATCTGCTTCACCATTACTAGCGGATCCAAGAGGAATGTCACAACACATGGGCTCTCTGACGCCATAACCGTTTGCTTCTGCTCTCCCATGGTTTCGGCGATTCGTTTCACCCCTGACATTTTCTCGTCCCGTAAACTAGTTCGTAATGAATACACTTTCAATTCACCAACGCCTATGTATCATGTGTATGCGTGCCCCCGTGTGTACCTCTCTTAGTTATTGCCCTCTCCTGCATCATGGCTCGTCTAGCTGATCTTGGCGTTGCTGAAGTCCATCTCAGGGTGCTCGGCCTGGAACTTCTTGAGGATGTCGAGCTTCTTCTGCTCGTCGGAGGTCGGCAGGCCCATCTCCTTCTGGCGCTGGTCCCACATCATCTTCTCGACCATGCCGCGCGTCTCGCCGTCGAGGTCCGACAGCTTGCTCGTGTCGGGCTGGATCTTGGACACGTCGATCTTGGGCGCGTCCTTGACCACGTGCGGCCACCACTCCATTTTGTTCACCTTGTCCAGGTGGATCTCGACCGTCTTGGTGCCGTCCGCGGCCGAGGCCAGCGTCCAGGTCGAGTCGTCAACGATGATTGCATGGGGAAGCTCGCCCTGCGCCCTTCCGTGTCAGTTTCCTTGTCCTCTGCAGTGATGATGTGCCTCCCGTGGGGTAATGCATACCTTAATGATCGGCTCCTGGCCCTTCACGCCGGCGGAGATTGTGTTCTTCTTGAGGTCGATGACGAGGTCCCTGCTCTTGTAGTTGCCGGGCACGCTGAAGGTGACGTCGACGTCGGCGATGGTCTGCTGCCACTTGTACGGCAGCGCGTTCTGCTCCTCGGCCTCCTTGGCGCGGGCGGCGGCCTCCTCGGCGGGGGTGGGTTCTGTGTGGTTTTGCGCGTGGTCAGTTATTGATTGTTCATGATATGTCACCGTCGACCTTCCGCTCAGATAAGCAGGAGGGGTGAACACGTACCAGGTTTGTCGGCCATGATTGCGGTTTTGCGGTATACGGAACGATGGCAAAAGTCGAAGAAGACCCTGGAAAGGCTGACGGAATTCTTGGAGGGGTAGCTTAGCTGCACTGCACCACCATCAACCCCCCATATTACGCCCCCCGGGCCGTGCGTTTTCGATCGGGGAGCTCTGACCAATTAGCTTCGCTTAATAAACGTTTCCTTTCCCAATCAGCCTCGCCGTCAACTTTACAAGCCACCACCGCCGATCTGGGCGCATCTCAATCGTGAACTTCGTTCCTTTCAGGCAGGCGCGGTGCTTGATCTCTTCAACTCCAAACTCCAGTGCAACCTCAACCCGCGGTCCTCCAACGACCCATCTCAATGCCGCCCTGAGTCAACTACGTCGTCCATCGAACCTTCCCATCCAAACCCGACGAGACGAAACGAACCCCCATCCACGTCAACAACCCACATCATGTCCGCCGCCCGCGCCCCCAACGGCGGCGCCGTGCAGACCGACGACTCCGTCTGCCCCGTCTGCAAAACAATGCGCTACCTCAACAAAGACCTCGAGTTCCTCATCAACCCGGAGTGCTACCACCCCATGTGCGCCAACTGCGTCGCCCGCATCTTCTCCGACGGGCCCAACCAGTGCCCCTACGCCGGCTGCCACAAGACGCTCCGCAAGAAGGGCTTCAAGTCCGCCTACTTCGGCGACCTCGCCGTCGAGCGCGAGGTCGACATCCGCCGCCGCGTCGCCGCCGTGCTCAACAAGGTCGAGGACGACTTCGAGACCCTCGCCGACTACAACGGCTACCTCGAGTGGGTCGAGACGCTCACCTTCGACATCATCTCCGGCACCGACGCGGAAAAGAAGGCCGCCGAGGCACGGCTCATCGAGTGGGAGCAGGCGCACCGCGCCGAGATCGAGCGCAACCGCCGGCTGGCCAAGGAGTCCGAGGCGGAGCGCGTGGCGCGCTTCGAGGCCGAGAAGGACGAGGCGCGGCGCCGCCGCGCGGAGGCCATGGAGGAGGACAAGGCCGAGAAGAAGAAGGAGCAGCGCATGCGCGAGGAGATGCTCGACGGCCTGGCCTCCGGCGACGTCGGCGAGGCCAAGCAGACGCTCAACCGCATCCTGCTCAAGAAGCGCGGCCAGGGCCGGATGGCCGCCGCCGCGAGCTCCCTCGCCGACGCCACCGGCAGCTCCGCGCCTGGCCTGTCCATACGCGGCCTGAAGAAGGAGAAGAAGCGCGTCGTCGAGGAGAACAAGCCCTACGACCCCTTTGGCGGGCTGCGCCTCGACATGGAGCGGTACGCCCTTGGCCCGCTGGACGAGTACCGCAACCCTTGGGTCGACGACGCGCGCAAGAAGGACGAGATCGTGGTTGGCGGGTACAGTGCGGAGGAGTACCTGGGGCGGGCCATGTTCGAGGCGTTCTCGGGGTTGGCTGTGTTTATTGACGACGAGAAGGGGCCGGAGAAGGTCGCTACGGCGGAAGCTGCGGCAGCGGCCGCTACGGGAGTGACAAGTCAGAGGATGGAAGTGGATGACGTTTTCTAGTTTTCATTGTTTATCGCGATATTTTGGGCAGGCATAGCGATGGCGTTTGGCGGGTACTTGGACAGGATTACTAGACGGCGATGACGCAAAACAGTACTTGCGAAGCAGAGATTCAAAAAGAGTCCTGAGGGAGACAACTCCCTCTTATGCAAAAATTACTTTCTAAAGTCTGCTTACTAGATAATACATTTTTCAAGCTCAGGCTTCGATGATAATGCCCGGTTTCCACCAGTGACTTAATCAGTTGCCGAGCTTTGTTTTTCGCAAGCCGTCTAAGCACCCTTCCTCCGTAGTACAAGCAAAACCCAGAACAACGCCTCGCTTGAGATGAGAAACTAGAGAAGGAAATTGCCCCGTCGCATGCAATGATGCTCGCGGCACCATCTTTGAAACAGTCGGTATTATGTCTGCCAGGGACTTTGCTGAATAGGTCGCGGGAAAACGGGCACAGTATCCAGAGAATCCAGCCCTCCGCCCATGGCCTGCTGGTTGTGCTGCCAGCCCATGCCTGTCTGGTGGTTCACAAAGGCACCCTGGCGGAAAGGGTTCGTGGTCCCTGTTGGTTGTGGAACGAGCGCACCAGAGCTGGTAGCGGGCCTTTGCTGCTGCATTTGCTGCCCGGTGAAGTTCTTGGCGAACGGGTTGGTGCCAGTCATCATCGGCTGCAAAGGTGCAATGGTCGGGAGTTGCGTCGTCGACTGGCTCGGCTGAGAGCCAAACGGAGAGTTATTAGGCGCAGGCGCGGTCGGGAATGGTTGTTGCGCTTGAGGCGAAGATCTCGCAAAAGGGTTGGTAGATTGCCTGTTGAGATTGGGCTGAGGGCTGGCTGGGCTCGAGAACCCGGTATTAGTAGACATGCCCGTTTGCTGGGCCATCAACATAGACGCCCGGAATGGATTCGTCATCTGCTGAGCCGAGTTGGGACTAAGCATGCCGGTCGCACCAGTAGGGAAGCTAGCCACGGAGTCCTGCGGTATGGCACCAAGAGTACCGGGCTGGAAAGGCTGTTGCGGTTGAGGGGTGAAGCCGCCGAATCCAGCCCCAGTAAAGGTGGGTTGCAATGGTTGTGGTGCTTGCTGCTGGGGCTGCTGTTGAGGCTGGCCGAAGGGGTTTGTGCTCTGTTGTTGCTGCTGCTGCGGTTGCTGCTGGTACGGATTGGTCCCAAATCCTGTCGGCTGAGGTGCGAATCCGTTCTGCGGCTGCTGCGCTCCAAACCCATTCTGCTGGAAGCCTGTAGGTTGCGGTTGGAATTGGCCATTGGGGGCAAAGCCAGTCTGCATAGGCATCTGCTGCTGTTGCTGATGTTGCTGCTGGTTCGGCGCCATCGTCGTTTGGTTCTGTTCAATCGATTCGAAGAAATCAATAAGATCCGGCGCAGGTCCCTTGGCAGTCTCAGTCTTTGGCTGTGAAAATCCGTTGGTGCTCGGGAACGGGTTGTTCGCTGCTGGCGCGGGTTTGGAATCGAACACAGCACCCGCTGACTTCATGATCGCACCTCCTCCCTTCTTCTTGGCCTGCTGCTCAGCGATGTACTGCCTTCTGTTGACCTCAAAGTCGGGGTCGTGCAGGTACTCCTCGAGTTGTCGACCCAAATTGACGGGCGCGTGCTTCAGCTTAGGAACTTCGACGCGGGTCTGGTGCTCAAATTGCCGTGCGACGCTCAGGTATTGCACTACGAAATCCGTCTGCTTGGTGAAGTTGCGGTAGATGGCCATGGCTCGCTCGGCGTCGACCTTTGACATTTCGAAGAAGTTGCCTGGCTAGTTAGCAAGTATACAATGTGCGCGAACTCCAAGACCTACCTAGGATGTTAATCATTCCCTGGTTCAGAGCCTGGAAGAGAGCCAAAAGGTCAAGCACCAGTAGTCTGAATACGGTGACTGTGATTTCGTTCTCGATTTCGCCTTCGAGTACCTGCTCAACGTCAATACCAAAACCCAGCCATCTCCAACCAAGTAAGACTCACATCGCATTTCAGCAGGGCTGTGATTTGGGTTTGGAGGATTTCCGTCTCCCTCAGCAGGCCTTTTTCGACCGTAAGCTTCTCCAACCTCGATTCTTTGGTCCGGACCCAGTCGCATTTCGTTTCGCGAAACGCCTTTGCTCGGGAGCTCAGGTAGCTGGCGTAATGCCGAATGTTCCGACCCTGTGTCTGGGCTATTATGCGTTGTTAGCACCGCATCCACCGTCTTCATCGACAGCCTCAATATCTACATACCGTCCGTAAAGCTGCTGATAGCAAGCGTGTTGGGGTGCCTCGCGAGGAATGACAGTGTGACATCGGGTGAGCCTTCACGGATCATCAGGTGAACGGTGATTAAGCTCTTGAAGACGACGGTCCATGTCGAGTCTCGCAAACGGAACTGCAGGGCGCGAAAGACCTCCCCAACGCCAGCCTCGCCGGCATGTGTCGCTACGAGGATGTGTTCGATGTATTTGGTCTTGGGTGGCGCGGCCTAGAGGCAATAAAGTCAGCATCGTCATGATCGGGCGAGGCGCGAAGAGCTAGCGGCGTGGAATGACCGTCGCCGCCTCCCTTAACCAACCTTGATCTTGGTGGCCCCCTTGACCGATTTCTCGAAGGAGCTTGACATTTTGTCGGTCGGATCGAAGTGGTTGTTCGTCGCTGTCGGGGAGTCGTGGCAGCCGGTGAGCTTGGCGACGAAGGGAAAGCTGAGTTGAGGGTTGCGATCGGACGAAAGTCGCGGCAAAGGAAAACCGTCGAAAGGGAACGGCCGTCACGGGCCTCGACGGGGTATCTCGAGCGGGTTAATTGCTCCTTTACAGGAAGATGGATTATCGCGAGGTCTGCGCTTCTTAGAGATGCAGACGGGGTCGTGGTCGACGGGCGAGAGAAGTATCGGTGACGGGGCGCGACGGAGGCGGGTTGCAGGCCAGGGAAACCCTCAGCTGGGCGAAATTGGGCCCTGGCAAGCTTCAATGCAGGACGAGTGGTTCGGGCTCCGGGGTAGGACCAACGGCCATGACAGGGCGTTGGGATATCGGAAAGGGACCGCGGAGATGGTGATTAAGGATACAGATTTGGCGATGCAGTTGTCGAGATACGGCGGCGCGCCTGATGGAGCGGAGCGTGAGCGAGGAGCTAACGTTGGGTATTCGGGAAATGAGGGCGGGCAGCGTCAGTATCGACGTTGGCCACGTTTGGTCGGGAAGGGGTGGGTTTGGGTGGAGGAGGACGGGCCACGGTCTTGAATTGGGAAAGACGACGGCCGTCGGTTGGTCGGGCTGCTACGTAACCTGGGCTGTGAGCCTGTGAGGGACGGGGGGAGAGGTGCAAGTGCGTGTTCAAGTCCAGAGGTCAGGTCCAGGTCAGGTCCAGGTGCGGTGCGCCTAGCGGCCGCGGCCTCTGATTCCTGGGCAGCCCTTCTGCTTTCCCGTCTGCATCGCTACGCCACCGACACTAGGACGAGTCTTGGTCCCGTCGTCACCTTTCCTTTTCCTACTTGTCTTTCCCTTAGGTATCTTCACTCGAGTCGCCTGGAGATGTAGATGTCCTTTTCGACTCTACCTAACACCTCTGTCGTGGCAGCAGCTGTACCGCACGATGGACCGTAGACCTTAGGGGTATCTACCATCCGTAGTACAACAAAGCACGTACCCGGTTATGCCGGTAGCAGTGGTAGGGAACCCTGTCCACGAGTGCCTGTTTTGCGGGCTCGTGATGCTGGCAGTCGGCACCTGTCGCCGTGGCATTCCAACGACGTGGAGGGAAGAGGACTTGCGGTGCATGTAAGGTAGTGAGGTAAAGTACCTTACCTCAGGTTAGGTACGGTAAGGTCAGGTCAGGTACGCCATCGGTGGTCCTGGCGTTGCGCTGCGCTGCACTGCGACCTCAACTGCGACACACACCAAGCATCTCCCGCCGCTGAAGAGATTCTCTACCAGTGCGGCGTCCTCTTTAGCGCCGCCTGAGTGTGTGAGGTGGGCCTCAGGACGACCCCGAGGTCCCGTCAAGGCGGCCCCCCATCTAATGGTAATACCTTACTGACACGGACGAACACTGGCAGCTCCGACCTGCTGGGGTGCAGGTTGTTTTTTTTTGGGGGGGGGAGAAGTACGGATAGAAAGAGAGAGTGTGGGTGGAGATGCCATTGCTGCTGTTGCTTGCTTGCTTCTGCCGTTCACAGCTGGTTTCTTCTTCCGATCGGTGTGTCTCGCCCATCAAATGCCCAGGAAAACACGACCCGAACCGTATTCAGTACCAATCCGAGGATTTGACAGCACATCAGTCAGCCGCCAATGCGAACGCTCCCTCTCCAATGAACCAACCACGCTCAAAATAATACAGCAGCCAAGGCAGGTACGGATACATCAGCGAGCCCCTCTCGCTCGGCAGTGCAACAACTCCAACGCCATCCAACGGCACCATGGCCGTTGAAACACCATCAAGAAACATGGGGTTCGCTGGCCACCTCTTCACATGTACCGCATCTTACTTCTCCCCAACATCGGTCTTATTTGTTTGATTCATAAAAGTCTGGGATATTGCTGGCCACCCGCACAGGGCGTCCTCCCCGTCAGTGTGTATGCACCGGCGAGGTCAAATTGCTACTGTACACTGAATGCTCGACTCGTATTTCGCTCCCTCGCTGGCTTTCCCAGTCTCGACTTGCCGTCATCCGTGCCTCCCACACCCAAGCCAACGCAGCTCTCCAACAAGAGTAAGCTCCGTCGGCAACGACTGCGAAAGGTAGGAACATCCGATGTGTCGCAAACTGAGCCAATCGACCATCTCCGGCCGATGTACGGCGGGAAAAACGTAAAAACGCGCCCGACCGCAACTGTGCCCATCACCAGTCAGTGAACACAGACGGGACCTGAGGCGCCACTTGGCGCTGACAGGTCTGTCGGTTACTGCTGCGTGCCAAAAGCCCCCAGAACCCTCGTAGAATCTTCCATTTCGATAAAAATCAGAGTTGCCTTTCATCGCGTCCGATGTTGTAACAAGGTCGTGTCGAACGCCTAGATCATGGCCCCCACCGCCCTCGACACCTTTGCCCTGAAGCCGCCCGAAGGGGAGAGCTTGGATGCCTCGGACAGCGGGAGCTGCATCATATTAAACACGCGCGGCTTTCATCACCTGCAGAATCGTTGTCAGTAAAGTTTCTCGATGCGGTGTGTGCGGTGCAGCGCGATACCGGGGGGCGGACCAAACATACACTTTTTTGAAATGGAAGAATCATGAAGAGGAAAAGAAGAGATTTTTTGGAGCTCGACGCGAGTTTTTTTATACAGGGAGCCTGCCCCGCGCTAATCACTTTTTTTTTGGTGGGGACCCGCCTCCTGCCTGAGGTGCAACACACCTCAGCTGAGCTGCCAAGGTGAAGGTGCCCTGCAGCGCGACTGCCCCCCTGGCGCGCATTGGCTACGAAAATGTCGGATGGGCGGGTTCAGTGGGCTGAGCTGCGATAGCTTCTCATGAATATTCAACGTCAAATCTGACCCGCCAAGGATATTCACCCGCCATGTTGCGCCATTGAGATTTTTCAGTACTGGACTACTAGTCGCAAATACATCTCAATCTTGAAATCATCGTCAGCGACTCTCGTTATACCGCTGGACGCCTTCATAGCCCTCTAAAATGCTTCGACAGTGCTGTCGGATGAGAGGCCTGGCCAGCCTGCATCCTCGCATATCGCAGTCGCAGTCTGTAACTCGGAGGCTAGTATTGATCTCAAAACAGCCATGTTGCTCTTCGATTTCCTTCTCTCAGCAAACTCGCTGTGGATCAACAGCCAGTCCAAAGGCCGACGATGTTCACACGGCTCTCTCAGAGAAATTCAAGACTTGCTGTAAGCGGGAATGCCAATCGATATAGAGGTTTTATGGCTGATATTGGACTACCCAGTTGCCACCCCTGACATGTCCGAGCCTGAGACTTGGGGTCATGTCGGAGCCAAAATCACCATCAGCGGTTACATCAGTAAACTTCGAAAGGTCAGCAGAAATTTGGCCTTCGCCAGCTTAGAACGCAATGGTCAGCGGATAGGTCAGATCGCCGCCAAAGGGCAGGAGGAGGTTGATAAGTTGAGCAAGATACGCCCTTTTAGTGCAGTCCTTGCTTCGGGCACTGTCACTGAGGCTTCTACCTCGTCGCATTTTGAGATGGATTTGGAGTCGATAAAACACCTTGGCTTCTTCCCGCCTGAAATCATCATCGGCCCAGACACGCTTTTCCCACCAGAGAAGCGCCACCTGCAATTGCGCTTCCACAAGGACCTTCGCGAGAGATTGCGCTTCCGTGCTCAGCTCAAATCAACTCTGGCACAAGCTATGGTGGATCGGGACTACATGGACGTGGAAACCCCAGTCTTATTCAAATCGACATCTGAAGGTGCCAGAGAATTCATCGTGCCAACGCGCAAGGTCGGGCATGCGTATGCTCTGCCACAAAGTCCACAGCAATATAAGCAGGTCTTGATGGCATCTGGCATGTCTGGCTACTACCAATTTGCGCGATGTTTCCGCGACGAAGATCATCGTGCTGACCGGCAGCCCGAGTTCACCCAGGTTTGTATAATCCTCTCAAGTTCAAAATCTGCGCGGCTGACATGCTGTACAGCTTGACATGGAGAAGTCCTTCGCCACGGGAAAGCACATTATGGAAGACGTCGAGCACGTCGTTGGAAGAGCCTGGGAGGCCATGCGAGAGCAATATGTCATGGAGATTGGGAAGAAGGGTTTCTCACCAGTCAAAAAGTCATCCCTCCAGGTAGGCAGATCACGTCTCACACGAAAGCTATTCAAAGACTAAGATGGTCAGGATTGGAAGCAGAGCGTCCAAGACAGTGCAAAGGATGACTCTCAAACACCACTCTACCAAGAATACCCTGTCATTCCGACGCCGTTCATAAGGATGAAGTACACGGACTGTATGGATCTCTACGGATCCGACAAGCCAGACTTGCGCATACCGAACAGGGTCAGTCTCAACGCATGCTTGCCTGTCTTTGACTGACACCATTCAGATATGCCGCGTCGATAAGCACCTCGACCGACACTTCATCAGCATGATCAGCGACCTCAAAGACCCCGCTGTCGAAACATGGAAGTTCAGCCCCCTGGACGACATTGACAAGCACGACGTGTCAAAGGCCCTGCTGAAATTCATGGGTGAACTGCCCGCGAGTCTTTCCAAAAACCCAGACGGCGGGCCGGTGGCCCTAGTGTTCGACAGCAGCAAGCCTCTGAACGGGTTCTCCTCCCTTGGGCCGGCAGGCATCGACAGCATTCTACCCCATGTTCCGGAGGATTCGGGCCTTTCCGACTTACAAAATGGCGACGTTGTCTTCTTCCAAGCGTGCAAGAAGGGGCCTCGCGGGGGCGGCTCAACCAAGCTCGGCGAGATTAGAATCGCATTCTACCACGAGGCTGTCAGGACCGGACTCATCGACCGCGATGACTCCTTCAAGTTTCTCTGGGTCACCGACTTCCCAATGTTCACCCTCACGGAGGAGGGTGACGTCGGTGGGCAGGGCGGCGCGGCAGGCTTCTCCGCCACCCACCATCCGTTCACGGCGCCGCACTCAGAGGAGGATTTCGAGCTACTCTTCACTGATCCGATCATGGCCAAGGCAGATCACTACGACCTCGTGCTCAACGGCATCGAGCTCGGCGGCGGCAGCAGACGTATCCACGTCGCCCAGATCCAAAAGTTCATCTTTGAAGAGATCCTGAAGATGGATAAGAAAAAGGTCAAGGAGTTTTCGCATCTGCTGAAAGCCCTCGGCTCTGGGTGTCCGCCGCACGCCGGCTTCGCCATCGGGTTCGACCGCTTCGTGGCTGTCTTGAGCGGCGCATCGTCTGTTAGGGATGTCATTGCGTTCCCCAAGAACAACAACGGCGTTGACGAGTTCGCGGGCGGCCCCAGCAAGATGACGAAGGAGCAGTTGGAAACTTACAAATTGCGCATTGTAAAAGAATTCCGGTGACGCATACCTGGGATGGTAGAATTTGCGCCAATTTCGGAGCATCAGTCGTAGTGACCTCTAAGTGGATTGTGGACGAAGGTTCCAGGCTTCTCCGAGTTTGGAGAATTCATGAACAAGACCGCATCGCGGGTCAGTGTGTATCACCAATTCTGTGGCGTGGTGTATCATTTTTATTCAAAGTAGAGTACGATAAAGCGTTTAACGCACAACATGACCAGTTAGTTCAGTCAACAACACGTCATCCAGAAGCTCAATAGAATGGGGTGAATCATTTCATTTGATGGTTAACGCTCCTAATAACACAATCTCAGGAACCTCTCATCCAATTTTCCGGCGACAGTACCCTAGCCATTATTTACTATCTCTTCCACTGCCCCGCATCCTCCGCGCCCTTTCCCACCGAGTTCAAAGCATTCTGCAGCCCGCCGCCGAGGTTGCCCAGCCCGTCACCAATAGGCCGCCCGGCGCTACCGCCCGCGCTCGTGATAGTGTCCCCGACGCCCTTGGTCGCGGCGCCCGTGACATTGCCGACGGTGCGCGTGACGCCGCCGACGGTGTTGCCCAGCGTCGAGGTGACGAACTTGGCGGCGCCCGTGACGCCGTTGTTCTGGTCGTTGTTTCCGACGGGCATCCTGAGGTGGTGGTGGTCTGTGGAGTTGTAGTGCGGCGTGTGGTGACTCTTCTTGTTTGATGATGAACCTGTCCAGGAAGACGAGGACGAGGACGAGTTCGAGTTGGATGTGAGTTTGTTGAGGATGGGGACGTTTGCGAGTTTGCTGTCGTTCTTGTTGTTCGTCATTTAGCTCGATGGCCCGTTGGGGGTCTTTGTATTAATTAGTGTAAGCGGGGTGATGGGCGCTGCTGGAGGACAAGGGAGATATGCATGATGACGGCAGTGGCTTGATGGGTGGATTTATATACTCGTCTGTACCGCGGCGTTTTGGTAATATCTGAGCTGATGGGCAGAGTGCGATGGCAGGCAGGAGAGAGAAAGAGCTCTCTTGCCCGCAGCGGTGACGTCACACGTCGAGGTGGGAAGACCCCTGTCGTGCGCGCGCGTCCGGTCTGGAGGAGGTGTGGCTGATCGCACCTATCAAAGCCTCATCTGCAGTGTTTCTGAAAGAGGGGGAAAGGGATCCCTGGGGGCAGGAGGTTTCTTGACATCACTGCGCTGCACGCATTGCATTATTGTTTGAAACAGAGGCATTATGGTCTGCTGGTTTTTTTTGGCTTTTGCATACTCTGTTCGAATTTGGGGCTGACGACATTGCGTGTGCTAGCCTGATGGAGAAGGTTGCCGAAGGCCCGTGGGATTTCGGTTTGCTTGGAGCTTCCTGGCGGGATGGGAGAAAGCTCGCGTTGGGATGACGATGGGTAGGTGTAGAGGAAGGTGTTAGGGCGATGTTCAGGTCGACGCGTGAGGCTGTGTTGGACACCATCTCTGAAGAAACTGTGATGGCAGGTATGGTTTGCAAAAGAGAAGCACATCCATGTTGTCGACTGCATCATGTCACTGTCCGGGCCAACGATGCCCGTGACGGCGGTACGAAAGCCTGCCGAATGTTGCGCCTTCCGCGGTTGTTCCGTCAGAACGGAGGATGCTCTTCTCCTGAGATCGGAGCACCAGCAACGCCCGAGATCCCAAACGGCTTCCGAGTGCCTTAGGAGCGGTGCTGACTGGGGCCCCTTCCCTGTCTTCCGGCGGCACCAAAACCGCGCGATCCCCGCAACGGGCCCGATCCGGTCCCACTTTTTGGATCCGGGATAATGGTGGCCAGCCCGGTATCACGAAGCCGACTGTCCTTGTCCCATGGTAGGTACTTCAGGATCGTGGAAATGAGCAGAACCTCTGAGTAAAAGAGAATATTTCATCTGCAAGGATTGCCCTTTGAGACCCAAGAGGGAAGGAACCTTAACGGCAGCTACCCAGCACTCTGACGGCGCCGCCACAACCCGCCTGAGCCAACGCCGTCGGGACGATCTATGGCATGTCGCGGCGCCTCCATCGTTTAATTCCACATTTTTGAATAGTCATTTTGTATCTCTTGAGGATTTGTTTGATATGGTACACGAAGCTCAGTACTGCCTCATCTTGTGTCTCGCCTCTCAATTACGCCTCTATCAACACGCTGTGCAACTTGCAGGTGGCTGAACCGGTATTCAACGGGCGAAGACCACACGAAAGACAACAGCGAGGATGAAAAGGATGTAAACCGGTGCAAATGAATCGGTCCGAAAGTTCCAAAACGGTGATCTTCTCGGTCTTGTTTAATTAAGTCTCTCTCTCTCCAAGAGTCATTGCATGTTGGACTGCGTATATAAGACTGCATAACACGCAAAAATGTTCCCAAGTCTTCCAACCTTCCCACCACTACCCTACAGCTATTCCTCACAAAATTTGATTCAGTCAGTCTTTACCACCACCACCAACAATGCATTTCCAACTCTTCGCCATCTCCGCTTTCATAGCCACGGCCCTGGGCCTGCCTTTCCCGCCCGCCGGCGGCCTTATCAACATCTCACCGGCCACCAACGTCGACCTCTCCAACCCCGTCTCGTGCGTCGGCATCGCAAACTGCAACGGTGGCCTCGGGACACCGTCATCTAGGTCATCCGGGTCCCCCCTCGCTTAAGGGGGCGATACGCTTGTTCAGCGAAGCGGAACTTGGTTGGGGAAAGCCAAGAGTGGTTCTGGCGAGAATATGGACCGCAAGACATGAACCTCTTTGAGAAACGACGGTTTTGGAAGAAGTATTGCGTCATTGCCGCTGGTGACGGTGGTTTGGGGTTTTGCGCGAGGAGGTGGTTGATCCTGTCGTGGCTTTGCTATTCGAGGAAACAAAGCGGAGGGTGTCCCTCTCTCAGCACTAGGTTTTCATTTGTTGTTGTAACATTCGATTCGAATCTTTAGTCAAATCCAGTTCGCAATTTCAAGAAACCTGTTAGCGAGAGATGAGAGAACATTCAGGCCGCCGTGTTGATACTTCTCATCCTCGCGCCACCGCCGTCATTTACGTGTTGGAGCCATCGAAAGCTATCCTAAGATTTTCAAGTTCTCGCATTCTCAACATTAATACCGACAGCGAATTATGTGCTTTAGTATGATTCTCCATCGAGGCCCTCAGCTGCCATATACGAATTAGAATGTGTGTAGTGAGCATGACGGGCCCCTGGTTTCATGGGTATCCGGTTTCTGTTTAATCCCAATCATCCAGCGTCAAGAAGAAACTCCTACAGGGACTCATACTCAAGTATTTGGCCGAGCAAAAGGCAGATGAATGGCATCGAGACAGAGCCACGGAGGGTCAAAAAGCGGATGAACCGATGTATATGTGATGGCGAGACGGCGTCGTTCAGCGCTGCTTACACCATGCCTACGAGTCTGCAGACTTTCTGAGACAAGTGACCCTCCTTGTAGAAGACACAATGAAGATGACATATTCAATTTGCTTCTCAGTTGATTCGTAGCTTATGGCACATGTAGTCCTGATGCTGGTCATGCAAGTATTCAGGGATCAGATGTCGTTGAACAGAAGTCTGATGAACCGTGATGCACTGAGGATTTTCGCGATCTTCGAATGACCTCGACCTGTTCCCCCATTTTGCCGTGTTACAAGAAGGTGGCATTCCTCTTCTGCCTCAGTGACTTTTGCCAAATGCTCACTCTATTGTCACCTTCTCCCATGGTGTCGTCTATCCCGCCGGCTCTCGTGATACCATCATGCCTGCTATGTGGAGAAGTAAACAACATACCGAAGCAGCACCGGCGGTGGAAGCTGCCGACCAGCAATGGGATTGGGCATCGGCAGGATGATGCTGGCTAAGTGTCCTCGTAGTCGAAAGGTTCTTGCATATTGACGATTTCCCCTCATCGCAGTTTCAGCGAAGATTCTCCAGAATTGACCAATGAGAACTTCACGGGTCAAAAGATGTAGTCAGGATAAGCAAGACCACTTACACATCGTCGGGGGTTTTCTTCGGTGATCGACAAACCCCATGGGACGGGTCGGAGCCGCGCCGCAGGCCACTGCACGAACTCCGCAAGACTCCGCACGCAGCTGTACCCCAACACCCAACACGCTGCACATGCGCATGCCGTCATGGCCCGCATTCTTCTTAGCTCCCTTGCTTCAGCTGCACGGAACAAAGCTCGCGGTAAATCAGAGCTTCCCCAGAAGCTGTAGCTCCAACCCCGGACGCTCCTCTCGCCTCAAACCATCAAACCACCTCCTCTCTAGTCTGTGCGGGGAAAGCTCTAGCTACACCGCAGTCAGGCCGCTCAATGCCACGCCGGTGATGTGATCTTTTCTCCTCGTAGGACAACTGATAGTTTCCCGTTGGTCACCACCACTCTCCTCTGCAGCAGCTACAACTCCACGACAACATGGCACTGAACGACTGGCTCGATTGGGGCGATTGGAAGGGTATAAGAGGGGAGGAGATGGCGGCCTTCTGTGCATCATTGATATGGTGGATCGCGGCGCTCGTCGTTCTTTCGCAGTGCATCCGGATGATTAGCTCGCGACAAACGGGACCGATATTGAACGAGAAAGGCGCGACGATAGTGAAAGAGCAGAAGCGCAGCATGTTCCTCCGCCTACCCATCATCCTCACGGCCGTGGCCGTTCTCGGGCTCTGCGCGGTCGTCAGAGTGGCAGACGTCGGACACCAGTTTGGACGCCAGCTTTCGTCGTACACGGCAACGACCACGACCAGCAGCAACGATGCCCAGTTCACAGTGGCCATGGACTCAGACGTCGGCGCTGATCTCATCCCCAACATTTTCGACCCAGAGGCAGTGGACCCCCAGAGTGTCTGCCCCGGTTACACGGCATCCAATGTTCAAGAGACTTCTCACGGATTCACAGCAGATCTCGATCTCGCTGGTAAGGCTTGCAATGTCTACGGCAACGAGATTGAGGCTCTGAAGCTTGTCGTTGAGTACCAGGCGGCAGACCGGCTTCATGTCGAGATACTGCCGAGACATATCGGCAAGGACAACTATACGTGGTTCATCCTCCCTGAGGAACTGATTCCGAAACCTGAAAATGACGGGAAGACTCAGTCGGCTGGTTCGGACAGCGACCTGGAGTTCAAGTGGGCCAACGCGCCGACTTTTGGCTTCAATGTGACAAGGAAGAGCACTGGAGATGTCCTCTTTACCACCGTGGGGACCAAGCTGGTCTTCGAAGACCAGTTCTTTGAGTTTGCTTCACCTCTTCCGAAGAACTACAATCTTTATGGACTCGGTGAGGTCATCCACGGCTTTCGATTGAACAGAAATTTGACTAGTAAGATGGCTCATCCGAATCGTTTGACTTCTTTGGCTCACAGTGTTAGGGACTATCTATGCTGCTGACATTGGCGACCCCATTGATGGAAATATCTACGGATCACACCCTATCTACCTAGACACCCGATACTACAAAGCCGATGCTGATTCCGATGAGCTCGTCTACGTTGCCGAGCCCACGGACAAGACTGCTAATTACAAATCGTTTACTCATGGCGTCTTTATGAGAAATGCCCATGGTCAGGAAATCCTGCTTCGAGAGTCTAACATTACCTGGAGAGCGCTTGGTGGAACAATTGACCTCTACTTCTACGCTGGTCCCACGGCAGACTCTGTCATTACCTCTTACCAAAAGAGCGCCGTTGGACTCCCTGCCATGCAGCAATACTGGACCCTGGGCTTTCATCAATGCAGATGGGGCTACACCAGTTGGGACAACCTGCAGGAGGTCATCGACGACTTTGCAAAGTTTGAGATCCCACTTGAAACGATCTGGGGTGAGCATT